AGAATTTTCTTTTTATTGGAAAACACTTTGCTTACAGTGCAAAGTTTAAAATGCATCGAAATATGTATATGTTTGTATGTGTATATGCAAATTAAAGTACAAAAAACGCTACTATACAACATATAGGTGCACTGTACAACATTAAACTTAATTATATAACAATAGAAATGTGTATTCATCACAAATTAAATATCCGTCAATACAAACGTTCGGTCTCATATACATATATATTTATATTATGTAATATTATAAATGTGCACATTATATTTGTTATATTTTCATTATTTGAGGCTATTAACCCCTACCAATACATATTCAATTTTTATGAACAATTTATTGTTTATGAAAATTTAGATTTTCTTTCTACCAATTTACGGTCTATTTTCTATAATGAACATCTATTTAATATATATACAAAATGCTTTCCTAATCACATTACTTTTATATAAATTCTAACACAGTATAACTTTTATACATTTTAAAATTTGATTATATGCAATGAAAAATCTAAATTCAATTTAATTTTGAAAATGTAAAAAATATAGTGCTGAAATTTTTTAACAACTCACTGTTTATAAATAATCACATTAATGGTATACAATAAAAACGACAGAATAATAATATAACGCCAAGTTTTATGCAATGTCAATAATATCAACGATCTTATAATAACATATAGTTATATGTATATAAGAATTATTCATTTCTACAGCACTAAAATAATATAGTATGTATTTAAAATAAAATAAGACGAAATCAATTTTTATACCAAACTAATAGTATTATGAATTTATACCGATTAGTGGTGGGCTTTAATAAAAAAAAAAAAACGTGCCAACATATAATAACAATAAAATAAATATGTATGGAGACACAATTGGGAATAAGTGCGGTAATTTTCATATGTATATTTATAAAAAATATTAGAAATAATTAATAAAATAAAAATAATTGCTTTTAAGTTTTAATTTTAAATCTTATTTAGTAACATAAATATTTTAATTGTTTTAAGATTTTCAATAATCAGACGAAAATTATAACAAAGCTACAAAAAAATCAAACAGTATTTATACATACATACAAACATATATATATAGGTTTTTGTTTAGTAAAAAAAAACATAGATGACACTGTAATTTTTCTAATCGAACATTACAAACGAATTACGTATTAAAACATCATCAAATTTTAATCAAATCAAACAAAATCAAAATTTTAATAAAATCAAACAAAATGTTTGAATATTAATTAGTGATTTAAACTGAAAACTATAACAAACGCAGAATCTAGACTTCAAAGATTGTTCATAGATTTTCTTTGACGAATACTAGTTTGATTTTTATTTATACACGAAATCCACAAATGCTTGCCATCAATGGTTCCAAACAACCCTTTGAACACTGTTTCAAACAATTGTTTACAACAAAACCGTTCGAACAATGTTTGATGTTAATTTTTTCGGCCGTTCGGAAAATACTTTTAATTTTCTATTTATGTTTTCTTTAATTACTACGTATGTATGTACATATTTTGCTAAATAAATGCAAACATAGGTATACATAGGTATATAATATATAAAATAATCCATTTTTAAAATATCGCCAAATAATTAACAGCAAGATTTTTTGCAAACTACTTATGATTTTAGCAAATGTGACGTAAAGAAAAAAATTTTTTGTTATTTTTTTTTTTTTGCACAAAAAAAAAATTATATTTTTCAACTTAACAACAAAATATTGTAAATAAACAGAATAGTATGATTTGAAGTCTCTAACACATGCAATCCATTAGCGTATGATGACACGCAAATAAAATTCGTTTGTTTTATAAATACTATATGTAATGTCTATTTGTAAATATATTTGTATTAAGTGTATGAATATATATAAAACATTTTTTGGTTAAATTTAGATAAATATTGTTATGCAATATACCGAAAGTCAAAATCCTCTATATAATCTAAAATATATTTTGATATACAAGTATAATACTCGTACGTACGCGAGTATATGTACACGAGTTCAAAGAGAAAATGAAGAAAATTAAATGTTTAAAGAAAACACCTGCGTTTTTATAATAGCATATAATATGTAATTAAATTTATCCTTATAGATATTAAAGTAAATGTTTCCAGGTATCTATATATTTATTATTATCGATTTTATTAAGTAACTGGAGAAGTATATTAATATTAAATAAAAAATTTTAAGAAAAATATTTGCTGCCTATTATTAAACCAGTAAATTTTTTATAATAAATATTTAAGATCTGATATAGAAAAACATTTTGAATGAACTATGTAATTATATTTTGAAAATATGAAATTCAGAAAATTAAAAATTGAGTAGAAATTTTGAACTATTTTATATTAACACATTATGAGCGGGTGGGGTACTAGTATCCGCTTGTGTAGATTGTCACTTAATCCTATTATAGGCAATATGGATGTAGAAACTTATTTTAGACATTTTTTATTCTTATATTTTTTTCAAAAACTTGTTATTTTTTGAGTAATAGGGCCCTCAAACTTTTTATGTATCTGGATGTGTACATTGTATATTCGCCAGCTACGCAACATTGTTGCACATGCTAGGCCGCCCGCTCATAATGTGTTAAGCGAATATATCAAAGTAATTTTTGAAATTATTAGCAGAATAAAGATTGATGGCAATCATTTCAATTGAAAAATAATTATATTTGTATATTTAGTGGATTTTCCTATATTTATTATTGTTTTCTAGTGTAATCTGTAGAGAATCTATATAAAGAAAATTTTGTAATATACTTTTTATGTATATTATCTAACATTCTAACTTAAAACATCTTTAGAAACTATATTAAAGAATTTTCAATTTATTTTATTCCATGTCACTTTAAAATAAATTTAGAACATACGCACAATAGTCTACTATATATTTTGTATAAAGTAATTATAAAAGTGTTGTTGTGAAAAATAATAAGAATGGTTCTAAAATATTTAACTAAAAATCTAAACAATACAAAAATTTCACCAACAATCACCTTTTAAGTTTTGTGAATCTTGTTTTATGATAAGTTTATTCTCGCTTTATAAAAATTTTACAATAAAATTGTTGTTTAGAGTAGAGAAACTAACCTATTTTTTATTTAAATTGAAAACACCATGTATTGTTGTCATTGTACCATATAGAAGTTAAATATATTTACATATATCACTAATCTTTACTAGCAATAGATTAGAGATATATCTAATACCCGTACACATATATATATCCATATTGTTCACTTAAGTATAAAACATCTAGGACAAACAAAATCGCACAACTATTTTTTATTTTTCTGAATAAGTGTACAAGTACACAAGAACTCTTGAAAAATGCACTTGTAATTTGTACATACTCCATATAACCATGTATGTTATACTTATATATTTTATAGTTTCTTTTATACCTTAAAGATAACCGTTGTGGTTAGTTTACTTTTGTTTTTTTTTTATCACCCTTTAAGGTATTAAAAAAGCAAAAAAAAAAAAGGTGAAATTTTTACAAAATAAAATTTCTGTATAACCAAATGTTTAAGTACATGTTTATGCCCGAGTAACATAAAAATAAAATTATATAGGCTCCATATAAAATCTGTGCTCAAATATAACATCTTTTTAAGTGAAGATTAATTCGCATACTTTATTGTTCAATCTGGAGCCAATTAAAATTTTCTCAACATAAACCTCATTCAGTTTGAACCAATTATATAATGGTTATTACAACAATCTTTTAACCAACGAGTTTTGAGCTCAAACCCTGGCCAGATTACCAACTACATTCATTATTATATACCAACAAAAATTAATATAATAAATGTTAATAATTTTAAATATGCAACACAGAATTATGAGAAAAGAGCTGCGACAGACTAGTTATACCAATTTAATGCGCATTACCAGTTAAAATCTAAAAATGACATATGAAATTGATACATGCTTATATGATAACATACAACCTAACTAGGATTGAAAAAAGTGAAAAAACAACCTGACAAAATTATAGTTAATAATAAAACAAAAAAAAATACAATTTTATTTTAAAGCAAAATCTAATTTTTCATCTCATTTTACTCGAAACATGCGTGTTTTCGAAATATTGGAATTTTCTTTAATACCACAGAATTATTTTTTGTGTATCTTCTTGTTTTTCTCATAACTAAAGAAAAAAAAAATAAAAATTTTTAACTTTTAACACTTTAAGGACTTTTTTCTTCACTTTATTTTTCTCCGTGCATATGTGGAAAACATTTTCGAATTGACTTCGAATTAAACATTAATTTTTAATGAAAAATTATTAAATATTGTCCAGTATAGCATTTAGTTACCAAATATATTTGACCCAAAATATATTTGAAAAATTAAAAATTTACGATATTAAAATTGAAATCGAAAATTTTTCTAAATTTTGCACAAGAGTACGAGTACAAAAAATTTTACTCAATGCATTATGGCATTATCCAAAACTGTATATGTAATCGAGCTACATCCTAAGAGAGTATATTTACTGCAAAACAATAAATGGCGAATATTTTTATAAGAGTTTTGCAGAGAAACCTTAATGAATTTTAATTATGACGAGATCTACGAGATTTGATTTTCTTATTTCACTTATCATGTAACTAAATATTTAAGTTAGAGAATATCTACCGACTTAAAATATAAAATTATAAATATTTTAAGTATTTTTAAAATATCTTGTATTTTAATTGCTTTTCACTTAGTTTGAATAATGAAAATCAAAAATCTTTGAATACCAAAAACAATATTTTAGATCAACTAAAAATTTACTGTTAAAAAATAGAGAATAACTTTAAAAATGTTTTTTTTTTTTTTTTGTAATATTCTCTTTAAAAGAGAACCGGCTAACATTATATGTACATATTAAAAGTTTTAAGTGTTATACACACATATACACACATATATTTATTTTGTATATGAAATAATAAATTATGTATTCCTTAATAACTATTAGACTTACTTAAGTTTTCAAAATTTTCCTTTTTGCCTCTTATATTTTTTTATTTGTTTTTCCTTGTTTGTTATATATGGAAATTGAAGAAGAAAATATAAAAACGGAAAATTCTGATGAGTTGATGACTTTTATATTGTTTCGTTCTTTTTTTCTCGATTTTTGTTTGTTTTTCTTTTTCTTTTTTTTTTTTACTGTTATTTTCTCTCTTTCACTTTTTACATTCCTTCTTCTGTTACGCAGTCCCGGTTCAAAAGCAGCCCATATTATGCGACAACAACAATAATATTGTAATGACAATATAAATAAAAATGTGTGATGATGTAGAAAATTGTATTATTGCAGTAATATAGTATAGTAGGTAGGTGTGAGAGAGAAAAAAAGCAAAATACTTTAAGAATTGAGCATTTTTATGAAGTGAAATTTGAAAAAAAATATTCTCGTTTCTAATGTAATATAAAAATGCAAATATGCATTTATTCTACACTTTTGATATAGGATATATATATATGTATATGTGATTGGTATTTGTAAACTTTTTAGAAAACCAAAAAAAAAAAAAAAAAAACACAAAAATGTTTATCGAAAATTTTTAAAAACAAATTGAAATCAAATCGAATTTTTCAATAGTGAAAATTAAAAAAAAAAAAAAATTTTGTACAATTTTTTTTTTTTTTGCTGTCTCTTTTTTTTCGATTCTTTTGAACACTTTTTTTTGTTTTAAGCGCTTAATTAGTGTACATTTCTTTTTCTTTTTGTTTCTGCTTTTTAATTTTTATTTTTTTTCTGTTATTATTTTTAAATTTTTATGTATTTTTATGCTTTTCTTAAATTTTATTTTTTTCTTTTATTTTTTAACTTATTAGATAAGCACTTTTGGTATATTTTCGTGATGATCTTTTGAAAAGAAAAAAAAATTTTTTTTTTAATTTTTAAATTCTTTAAATAAAAAAAAAAATTTTAAATGTTTTTTATTATTTATATAAAAAAAACAAACAAAAATATTGTAAAAATTAAAAAAAAAAAATTAAAAAAAAAATTTTCGAAAAAAAAATTTTTTTTTTTCAATAAAAAATATTTTAGAATTTGTGTAATAATTTTGAATATTATTCAAAGTGAGAAAGGAAAAAGCAAAATTTAAAATAAAAAGAAAAAATTTTTTTTGATTCAAAAAAAAATTGAAAATTTGCAAAAAAATTCTTTTTTTTTGTTATTACAATTTTTGATTGTTTTGAATGTTTTTTTTTTTGTTTTTATTTTGTGATTTATTTCATAATCACTTTTAAGTGAAAAAATAACATAGAAAAGTTTTATTTTTTTCTTTCAAAAAATTTAATACATAAGTATGTATAAATTATATACTTATGTATACATATATATATATATATATATATATATATATATAATATGTATGTATATTTTACATTTATACTTATGTATGTATGTATGGGTTTGTATATTTTTCTATTAGCTTTTTACGTAAAAACAAAAAATATTTTTTATTTTATTTTCTTTTTTTTTTATTTTTTTAAATTATACTTTCTTTTTTCTTTCTTTTTCTTCCCTATTTACAAAATCAATATGTAGGGGCATATAGAGGAAATTTTTCATTTAAAAAAATAAATTTTTTTTTTTTATAATATTATTTACCCATATATTTAAATATATATATACTGAATATATATATATATATATATATATATATATATATATATATATATATATATATATATATATATATACATAAGATAATTTTCTATATAATTATAGTTTTGTATATATATATACAATTATTAACATATATATATATATAATGTTATATAGAAATGATTACATTAAAAATGTTATTTTGTAACAGTAACAAAAGTATTGAGTTTTTTTTTTTGATTTTCTGATTAAAATCAAAATAAATCAAAGAACAAGACAAAAAAAAAACAAAAGAAAACAAGATGTTGAAATAAAACAAAAATGTTCAAAAAATTATTATTTTTTTTTTTTTTAAATATCCTTCGTTTTTCCTTTTTCAAAGTCTTTCGTTTTAATCTACATTCTTCTTCCTGTATATATATATATATATATATATATATATTATTAATATTACTATCCTTTCTCCAAATACATATGTTTACTAGTATGTATTTGTAAGTTTTATAAGAAAAAAAAAATGTATATATCGAATGTACACTATATATATCGACGGTATATATAATTTTTCTGGATTACTCGTTCTATATTATATTAATTGTATAATATTATATTATATAGGAATTGTGTAAGTGTATGTATATAGATTTTTTCGGTAATTTTTTTCAATTAAATATTCATAATTAAAAAATATGTATATATATATTATATATATTATGCATATATATATATATATATATATATATATATATATTAAATGTTAAATTAGATTTTTTTTTTTACTTTTTATATAACAATTTTAAATTTTTTAAAGATTTTTTAATGTTGCAATTGAAATAAAATATTAATTATTTTTTTAAGAAACTTGATGAGTATAGAAAGTTAAAAAAAAAATCAAAAAGTCCACAATATATATGAAAAGCACTTTTTTTTTTACATAATAATTTTCCTTTTCACTTCATAAAATTTTATATATATTTATATTATTACAAATATATATATATATATATATATATACATGCATACATACGTAATTCTATTTTCAACTTAATATATTATTTTTTTTTTTATTTTTACTTTAAACTTTTTTTTTTCTGTGTAAATTTTCTTTATTATTATATATTATCATTATACATATATATTCTTTCGGATGATTAAATAATAAAAAATTTTTGAAATAAATTTTTTTTATTTTACTTTATTTTATTTTATTTTTTTTTTATTTTTTTCTTTTTTCAAAATAACAAAAAGTTGAAATGAAAAATAAATAATAATAGTAGAAATGTATGTTGATTAATTTTCGTGTATAATGTAACACATGCGACTAGACGAAAACGAGGAACCGGAATGAAATTCTCAATTTATGAGAAAAACCATTCAACTCAATTTTAGAAAAAAGAAAATACAAAAAACAAAAAAAAATTAAAAGAAAAGGGAAAATAAAATTATATTTTTGTATAACAGTTTTTATAAGAACAAAAAAATGTAAAAAATAACATGATAGGAAAATGTTAAATAATATTTTCATATATAGGCTACAAATGCAATATTTTGAGAGAAAATTTGTTTCAAATGGGAATAACATTTTTGTTATAAATAAGAAAATTAAAAATTAATCAAAAATAAAATTTGAATTTAAAATATTAAGCATTTATTCTCACTACATAAATATACATATTTGAACCATTCTCAATTATTATATACTATTTTGTTTAAACTGGTTTATGAATTAGTTTTATTTACTCTATTATAATAAAAGTCCAATGTTGGTCTGCATGTCACATTTTTTGAATGGCTATAAATTAATAACGGCTAAGCATAGAAAATTAGAGGATAAGATTGTAATAACAGCTGCTCTTTGTCAAAAAAATTTTACAAAAAAAAAAAATTCCATTTTTGAGTAATTTTTCGAGTGAAATCTTTGATTGATTCTTTAATTAAAAAAAAAGAAACAGTTTTTTGAATGGCTTTTTGGTGTGGTTTTTAGATGATAAGATTTTTGAATGAAGTCCTTTATGAGGATACACTTTGAGTAATAATTTTGAGTGATATTTTTGAGTGGCTTTTTTGAGTGACTTTTTAGGAATTTTTTCGGTGTGTTTCTTGTGTTTCAAAATAATATATTTGAGTAATATTTTAAAGAGATTTTACAATGAAATTTTTTGAATGACTTACGTAAGTAAAATTTTTAAGTGATTTTTGAAAAAATATTTTATATTTCAAAAATAATTTCAATTTGCTAATTATTAAATAATTTTATAAGTTCCCTGTTTCCTGATTTATACGTGGAACAATAACTTTTTTATGTAATTAAAAATAACTTTAATTTTGTGAATCGCGACCTTTAGTTTATGAAGCTCGGATATTATACATAATATGAAAAGTAATATTATTAATTAACAGTAGACAAATTTCATTAAAATACACAGCGACATAGAGAGCCATTCTCCTTAAATAATTTTTTGAATCGAAAAGCAAAAATAAAGAAGAAGAATAGAATTTTAAATCAAAGTCTAACTTTGTTATACATTTTTTAAAGTATATTATTTATTTTACAACCTAGTAAAAAACAAGCCGCATAAAAAATAATTTGAAAGGAGTTTTAGTTGTTGATAATTTAAAAAAAAAAATTATTTTATTTTTCATTGTAAGACTTATTAAATAAAAATTATATTAAAAATATAACATGGTACATAATCAAGAAATCTAATACATACTTTTATTACTTTTCATGTAGAATAGTTGAAAATATAATGTAAATCATATAAAAAAAAAAAAGGAAAATGGCTCCCAGGTATATCATTTCTGATACTTGAATATAAAAATAGGATATATACATATCGTACATATAATTAAAATGAAACTGTTATATTTACTTATATAAAATTATTTTAGTTCGTTAATACTAACCATTATAATTTATTATTATTATTATTTAATTAGCAAAAAAAAAAAAACAAATAGTCAATATAATCCTGTATTCCACCCACATTCTTTTAATTAACAAGTTGCATTAAATCATTTTAACATTCCCTACACACACATATTCTAATATAACAGATCTGTTAAATTTATTTTTTTTTACAGACTAGTTTCTAGAAAATGCAATTCATTACTATCATTTTTCCTTATATATTTATATTATATACAAACTGTTATACATGCACCTATTCGTACTTACTTTTAATCTTACAAGTTTTCCTTCTATCTATTATAACAAATACTTTAACAAGTAATTTATCACTATGTGTTTGTTTAAAATAAGTAAGTAGTGTGCGTAATAAGTTAAAAAGAAAAAGGAAAAATTTTAACGAATTATTTACCCATATGAAAAAAGTTAAAAAGCTCTTTTAATATTTGATTATTATAAAGCTTATTTTTATTATAACCGGTATTTACTATACAAAAATTTTTATATAAACTGATATACAAACATGCTACGAGTATATTATACAATAAATGTGAGTATATATAACAAGGATTAAGGGTATTTGTACAAATATTTATGTAGTTAATTAAAATGTTCTTTTAAATGTTCATAGAAAGGTAAGTATGTATAGATAATTTTATTTCATTTATCTACATCAAATTTAAATATACATGCATACATATAGTAATATATTCAAAAAAAAATATTTAATAAAATATGTTGCACAAATATTGTACACATTTACGTATACAGAAAAAAAAAATTATTATTTTTCCTATGAGAATTACGGTATTTTTGTATACTCTCAGGTTAAAACCATAAAATTAAAGTGGCTCTAAAATTATTTATTAAAAAATATTAATGTGAAAAAGAGTTTTTTTTTTGTTAAAATTTCTCTCGCTGTCAATAAAATTTTTAGAACATTTGTTTATCGAATTTTTTTGCGATTCTTTTTGGTAGTACTATACTGTAAAATAAATTGCATGGTTGAATATTGCATTAATAACGAATTGAGATTAAAATTAAAATAATTTAAAATTACTAATTGTAATAAAAGGATGACACAACATAATAATTTTTAATAAAAAGCTACAGCACGGAACCACACTAAGTTGAATTCTTTTTGAAAATTTTTCTTTCAAAATTGAAAACCATTAGAGGACATTAGATTTTGATTAATATAATCTTTGTCCTCAGCATTCAGAGCAATCTTCTCTAAAAACTACACACAATAATTTTTATTGAACAGCAATATTAAATTTATAAAAACCCTCAGGTTAAACATTTCATTGTATTTATTTAGTTTTCAAAACCGTTAGCTGTAAAATTTTCATTAACCAATATTTAAAATTTTTGAGTTACCAAAAACAAAACAAATAAAGTTTTGCCAATAATTTTTCATTCTTGAAATTTGTACAGTGTAGGTAACCACATTCTATTAATTCACAATGTATTCACAATAATATAAAATATAATACACAAATATTCTGTAATTCACAATAAGAATCGGAATAGAATAGAATTTTAAAATGGTTTGTAACTTAGATATAAAAGAAAATATTACACCTATTATTGAAAATTATAAAAAAAATATCTCTATCATCTTTTTGGTAACGAATTTTGATAAAAAGAATAGCAATTCCAAATTGTAATAATTTGTGTGATACTTTTTACATTAAGAATTTTAGAATGATTGCAATTTCAAAGAGAAGAAAAATTTTGTTTGAAGTGTAATTTGTGTTGTACACACTTACATTTTATTTTAAAATCAAGAACAACAAAAGAAAAAAAAATTCGCATGAATCGAATCGATTTCATGTGAACTTTGTATGCGAGTCAAGACTACGCTTTAGGTAACCAATTTGAAAAGGCCAATCTCAAAAGAAAATAATATGGAAGGTACATGTCGTATTATCTTTGATGTCAATATCAAATTTATATCATACATAACGTCAAATTACATATATCATACATAACGTCAATTGCTGAAAAAAAATATTCATATAGTATTTTATTAAACGTTTAAGAGCTAATACTCTACTACCAATCATACTACTACCTTCATACTGATATGGGCGCCCGATTTAAATCGATTTGTTATTAAAAATTGTAATAAAATATCAAAATTAACATTGAAAATAAAAGGTTGAAATAATAAATAGCACAAAAATCACCCACATTTAAATCATTTGGTAAAAACCATTTAAAAAATTTGACGTAACTGTAAGGCAACTAATTAACCCTCAATGCAATTTTTTTTGCAGAATATTATTCTAAAATTTATGTACATATATGAATTACAGACTACTGTAATATAATAGTGCAAAATATAATTGTAAAATGAAATTTGGTGTTCCGTAATTTGAATTTAATGAAATCGTTATAAATTGCAATTTCAAATGGGAAATGGAGGTGTTCTGTATTTCTCTTTGCAATTTCATTTCAGTAAATTTTAGGGGATTGCACTTTCCAAATACGGAAATTCAAAACACCGCTGATTATTATTATACAAGATGTTCTTCTTTATGCAATACAATTTATTGATCTAGTATGTATGAAAAATCTGGAGAAATTCCGATAACTTATAATTTTGTGGAAAAGGGTAAAAGTATAAAAATTTAGATATATAGGTATATGTAGGAAATCAAAAAATGATTTTTTTCTTTTCTTTTAATGTTTTCTTAAGAAAAATTTTCAAACGCAATAAAATCCTGATTATCACCCCATTATTATTCTGTTGCCCAAAATAAATAAAATTTGAAATAATATCGCAAACTGAACTCCTTTTTTTTACCATGTTTTTTTTTGTTTATCTACAATATACATATAAACGTAAAGACAAACTTGTAAAAAAAAATTACATGGTTTCTTTACGCTCTAAGAATCTGCAGCTGTACAGCTGATTTAAAAATTATTACGTGAAGTTAATATCAACCAGTCTTTACATATTTGCGCATTAATATTTTCTTACTTGTTATGTGAATCACTGTAAGTAAATTATTGTTTATTGAAATATTACGTGTACAGTACATAAATATGTATGTATTAATGTCTGTGACTATTTTTGAGTATGTAGTGTGCACAAACGATGACTTATAAGAAAAATTTCATCAAATTATTTAAAGAATAATAACTACTTAATGCGGATTAGAATTTTCCCGCCAAACTTAGACAAGGTATACGAATAAGATACAAGGAGAAATAAAAAGAATAAGAAAAATATAAAAATTATATTTTGTTTTGTATATCTTGTTATTTTCTTTGTTATTCCCTTGAAAGGAAAAAAAAAACTGATAATGATTACAAAATACAAGTATACACTAGGATAAGGACACAGCTGCGGCCTGGGATTTATAGATTTTGTATAAAATTTCCTAATATTCTTATCTATTGTCCCG